TGACTGAGTTCCCACACCCCAAAATGGGTACGTGGAACTTTTACCAAGATTCTGTGCTCATGAGAGATCTGCAGGTGTTCAAAAAATACAACTAAAATGTGATTAACATCCTTTATTACCAACTCAATTAAAAATATTAACAAATATGCGCCCTTAAACTACAGCAAAAATAATATATACAATTTAGTACAAGGCTTAGAAAGTAAATCAATACCAGTGTTAGGCCTAAATCATTTACCAAAACATTTGTATATAAACTTTACCAAAATTGAAGTTCAAGTTTAAGGACCAAGCTGGTAACTAAAAGAAATTCCTGACTTTAAGTTAGGTTAGGCCTACTCGGAATAAAAGTTTTAGGACAATGAAAAAATTTAAAAATATGAATCTTAAAAGGCAAGAAATTGAGAATATGGCATAAAACAAACATTGAATTGAAATTACCTACAATGAAATCATTTAAAAAAAAATAGTATTTGACCAAAATATCAATAACAAGTTGCGTTTAAAGAAATACGTTCGAACAAACCTTACAATTTTAAAATTACACTCAACATTGACATGAAAATATTTAAATAGCCACATAAGACAATTATACACGAATATACACTAACATCAGGATAGAAATTTAATTTAAACAGTAAGAAATAGAATTTTAAAAATGGCAAAATTGTGGGGAAGAATTTAGTACTGGTAGTAACCGAAACTGAATTTAGAACAATTGGGCCGAAAGTTTCCCCCGTTAGAACAGAAATATTTAGCCTATTACTAACATAACATGGTACATACACAAAATAATGAAATAAACAAGGAAATGTGACACCCTACTAAATACATGAATTCTTGTAGCTTTGAAACACTCGTAGACCCGTGATATAAATATACTGTATTCTTGTTGACTTTTAGTTAGTTCCAGTTCCACAACTCAACTCGCAGCGATAGAGAAATAAAATCATTTAAATTGAAACGGTAAAACACAAGGGGATTTATAGTCTGTAGTTTAGTCCAGAAATAAGAAGTAGGCCTAGTTAGGGAAACACTAAGTTCAATTTGCTAGGCTACAGAATTTAAGAAGTTGAAACGGTAAAACTTTAAATTGGGGAAAAATTTTATGTAAAATAACTGTTCTTGAAGGTAGGCTGAATGAAAACGTTGGAGTAATAATAACATGGAGTAGATAGCACCTGGTTTGTAGAGATGAAGAAGGTCAAAGTTCTCGTAGAATGTTTCTGGGTGAAGTCCTTCCGCTGCGAGTTGGTTGAGGTTAGGCCTAGTTTAGTCCGGGGGCGACGCCCTCGTCTTGCTCCGAACTAGGTCAGGAGGCATGATGTGTCCGCTGCTGTCGGTCCAGTACAGGAGCCCTTTAAAATACACAGGCCTACTTAAAAGTTGAAGATAACCAGTATTTCAGAATGTTTATCAAGCCTAAACCTTTCAAAGAAAATTTTCGAGAGTTTTCGGCAGAGCTAATTTACATAAAATTTTAAGTAAAAATTTAAATATCTGTAGTCATGGTTAAACAAATAATCTCTATTGCTTCTCTTGGCTTAACAAAACAATACATATTTTCATTCACCCTTCTGTTACCAATACTAATACAATTTCCAGCCTAGGCCTAGCCTGTGGATTTTGTTAAAAGGAAAAACTAACTCTTTCACTTTAGTTTAGTTTAGAAAACCTGTAAACACAAACAATTAACGACTCAGAACAACACAAATAATTAAAATCAACAAATTTACCAAAGTCGAACACGTGTGTCCTGAACACCAACATGAAATTTTCCTGTCTGTGACCAGACAAAAACTAACTTTAAGCACAAAATTTTATTGACAACTACAATTTTAAACATTTGACAAAACAAGTTAAACAATTTAAACAACTTTAAAAGACATTATAAACAACATTTTACACAAAAATATAGAAAAAGGACAAATCTCTTGTGAACGCTTTCAAGAACAGACAAAATGTTTGAGGGAAAATGGCTAAGTTTAAAAATGAAAAAACGGACAATTAATCTAATACAATGATTTGACATACCTGGCTTGGTGTCAAAAACAAATTTAAGCTAGCATTTTAGGAAGGTCGAACAATATAAACTTGGAAAATCTTCTTTCTTGAGTCTCCATAGTGCCAGTAAAATTTGGAACGTCAATCTCGGAGGAAGATTTCAAGTAGAGAGAACGTCTCCAAGCAAATCGGAGAAGAAGGGGAGTAAAGACAAAGTGGACTCGCCCACGGCCTTTGGCAAGCGTCGGCGTACAGTGCCTCTGCCGTAATATGTACTATAAGAAATACTCTCCTCTCTCAAACTGAGCCGACTGACACGGCTCAGTTGAAACAGTGTAATATGTATCTTGATTATGATTTAGTATTGAAGGATTGGTTGACCAAAGGCATCATTGAGCGAGTGACAGATGAAAACATTTCACAGCCATTGAAAAGTCACTATTTACCACACCGGGCTGTTGTCAAGGAGGGAAGCACCACGAGGATCAGACCTGTCTTTGACGCTTCCGCTAAAGACATAAATGGATATTCTGTTAATGGATGTCTTGAGTCTGGACCTAACTTGATAGAGTTAATACCTAAGGTACTGACTAATTTTAGGTTACATGCATTTGCTTTAACGGCAGATATTGAAAAGGCTTTTCTACAAATTAGAATTGACCATGATGATCGAGACATGTTAAGATTTTTGTGGTGGGAAGACAGTCACGTGATCGTTTACCGCCATGCTAGAGTTGTCTTCGGTTTGTCGTGTAGTCCTTTTCTTTTGGGAGCAGTATTAAATAATCTTCTGGAAAACGCTCCTACCAATCTTAGACATGTAGCCAAGGCTTTGCTAAAAACTTTTTATGTTGACAATTGCCTTACGGGAGTGAACAGTATTTCTGAGCAAGAGAATTTCATAAATGATGCTCAAACACTTTTAAAGCTAGGAGGCTTTAACCTAAGGGGTTGGGCTGGTAACGGTTACTTTAAAACTCCTGAACAAGTTGAGAACGTCTTGGGACTTAGATGGTTATGCTCTAAAGATGAACTGTACTGTAATGTTCAACCTTTGAATATCAAGGACTCAGTACTTACCAGAAGGACATTGCTATCATGTGCTCAAAAGCTTTTCGATCCTATTGGTTTTACTGCTCCGGTTGGAGTGATTCCCAAAATTATTTTGCAAACGACTTGGACGTTGAAGGTAGGTTGGGATGAAGAACTACCTCAAAACCTACAGGTACTGTTTCAAAAATGGGTCGAGGAACTAGGCTGTCTGGAAAGGTGTGTATTGAGTAGAAGAATATTTTTGAATGCTTCAAGTACAGTACATGTTTTTTGTGATGCCAGTAAAGCTGCTTTTGGATGTTGTATTTTCTTAAGAACTGAAGTAGATGGTATCATTGACATAAATCTTATATTAGCCAAATCACGAGTTGCACCAATCAAACCAATTACTTTACCTCGTCTTGAGTTAATGGGTGCAATTACTGGTGTGAGACTCTCATGTCTAGCTTTACAGTGTCTCAACAACCCCAAAGTCCCAGTTTATTATTGGCTGGACTCCACCGTAGTTCTAGCATGGATTGCAAAGCAAGGGAAGTGGTCTGTTTTTGTTGAAAACCGAGTAAAAGAAATTAAAATAAAGAACAAAGAATATAAGTTAAATTGGATTGATAAAATACAGGGGTATAATGAAAAATACTTCTGAGTACATGAGATAAAAGTGCAATGTAAACAGGCTACACATTGGCTGCATTTACTTCGCTCATAAAAACAAATAGAGCATGAGTAACGGGACATTCATAGTGAAGGGCAACTTCCAATATAAAGGTTAAGTCGTAAGGAACATGTATGATGTCTTCTTCTTCACTCGTATTTTCCATCCCGCTCTTCATTGCTGTGGCAAGCGCGTTGAATGTCAGAGGCCTGCTCCACAAAGACGAGCGTTCGTATTCTCTTGTTTCTTTTTTTAGTAAGCCGAAGAAGGCTTCTACGTGTTCCTCCGTCATCCCAAACTGTCTTTTGCTCACTTTGATAGTTGGGGTATCCATCTTGAAGGGGTCAGGCCTCAACCAGATTGAGCTTACTCGGTCTCGATACTCTGGTGTTCCTCGAGCAGGCACTTCCAACAATACCCGGGTGACCGAAACAAGCTGTTCCACACTGGCAAAAGATGCGACAGACTGGCAAATCATGGGGCTCGCTAAAGTACTCCTATTGCTGCTGATCGAGTTCAGATATTGTAGCAAGTTGCTGTCCCCCTTCAGAAATTTGTTTAAACGACTGTCACAAGGAAGCCTGGACCTAACCCGCAGTGCTATCTCGAGCTGTTTGTCCACCGTGTCAGACGAGTCACTGCGAATCTTTAAATGATTCAAAGCCCTCACGATGTCCCCTGTCTCTTCGTACACTCTTGACAGGTCTCTCAGGCTTATATTTAACCTGGAGAACCTGCCAGTGAGTGATTCCAATTCATCGGTGCTTCCTTTATTGTCTCGGGTCATGTTTTTTTAACAGGGATTCTCTATCTTTTGTGATCTGCACGTGCTTTTGCAATAATTGTTACACATATTTACAATTACTTTTGCTGCTGACATTCTTTCCAGGGGATGCACTCCTAAAAAATTACTCAATTCTCAATGGTGGCTTGGCCCTCAATGGCTATATGCTTCTCCTGATAAATGGCCATCAGAACGCCCATCACCTGATCCAGAAGAGCTTAAGGAAGAACTTCGTAAATCTGTCGTCACTGCTAGTTCTGTTGAGTCAATATCAATCGCTCAAATGTTAGGAAATAGATTTTCCAAGTATACTAAGATAGTAAGAACTGTGGCATGGATCTTGAGAATGTCTCCCAAGAATAAATTGAACTTGGGAAATAACATCAGTTCTGAAGAATTCTTGAAGGCAGAAAAGATTGTATTTAAATTGATTCAAAGAGAGAGCTTTCCTGAAGGTCTAAAATCTCAAGAGCTAAGTGGTGTACAACAATTTATGGCGTCATAAGAATGAAAACCAGAGTATCAGATCGGGAGGAAGGTTTTGAATACCAGTACCCTGCCATTCTACCTAGCAAACACCCTGTTGTTGAGAAAATGATCAGGCAGTACCATTTACAGAATAAACATGCAGGAGTACAAGCGTTGATTGTCATCCTTCGTGACAGAGTGTGGATCCGAAAAGGCAGAAGGGCTGTTGGAAAGGTAGTTCACAACTGTGTTCGATGCAAGCGACACATAGCAAAAGCCTTAGAGATGCCATCACCTCCCTTACCCACAGACCGCACTCAGATTTCTTCATGTTTTCAAGTATGTGGGATTGACTTGGCTGGTCCATTGATCACTAGAGATAATCAGAAGTGTTGGGTGGTAATATTTACATGTGCCGTGTATCGTGCAGTCCACTTAAAAGTCATCCAATCCCTCAACACAGAAGCATTCATAAGAGCCTTACGACGGTTAATAGCTAGACGAGGCCGGATAAGTGTTATCTATTCAGATAATGGCACAAATTTTGTTAGTTTAAACAAGAATCTGAAGTCTCTGAACTGGACTGAAATCCAAAATACATTCAGCCTCAATGCAATTGTGTGGAAGTTCATTCCCCCTGCAAGTCCTTGGTGGGGAGGATTTTGGGAAAGGCTGATAGGGATCCTAAAAGGACTCCTCCGGAGGAATTTGGGAAATTCGTCTCTCACATACGAAGAAATAAACACCCTAGTATGTGAATGTGAGGGAATAATGAACAGAAGACCACTAACATACGTCTCAGAGGAGACGGGAGACTTAAGACCTCTGACTCCATCTATGTATTTACAAAGCATTGTGGGAAATGAAGTCACGGACTTGGACATCCTAGAGAGAACCAGTTTGAAAACAAGATGGAGATATATTCAAAGTCTAAGAGACAATATGAACTCCCGTTTCAAAAAGGAGTATTTGGGGTTCCTGAAATCGTCCAACAAGTTAAAATCCGACGATATTAATGTTGGAGACGTGGTATTGGTTCAAATTGAAGACAGAAGAAGAATTACTTGGCCTTTGGGTATTGTAATAAAACTGTTCCCAGGGAAAGACGGCAAAGTTCGGTTGGTACAAGTAAAAACTAAAAAGGGTTTAATACTAAGACCCATACAACGACTGTACCCACTGGAAGTTACCGGAGAAGGACTGAATGAAGACTTCTTATTTTGCGACCTCGCAAAAAAAAAAGGGGGAGTGTGTTATAAAATGTAATATTGGTATATAATTCAATATTATCCTCTTTGCAAAGATATGACTTGTATTCCAGATATATTAACAGATGTTTAACTATGATAATTTAAAGAAACATGAATGTAAACATTGTGTGTTGAAAAAGAAATAGTAAATTTGTTCCAACTAACTTGAGACTGATTTTATTTAACTTTATTGAGAATTGGTTCATATTTGAAGTTAGTTTACACTAGGAGTAGTTGTTGACCACCAGCGCTGGTTGCTTCCACCAAGAGCTCAAGCTCCCTCGATGGAGGTGGTTCCCTGGAGACGTATGGCAGGTAAACCGAGCATACTGTTGTGCTCCATTCCCTGCCAACATTTCTCCAGGTTATTGACACCGCAGTGAGATCTCTGGAACAAAATTTGTTTAAGGTTAGAAAGTTCAAGCCTTTCCTCACGAGAATACATGTTCTGACATTCCTTAGGGAAGTGCAGTAAACTAACTCACCTTTTATTCTCCCAGGCCTGCAACTCTTCCTTGGTGCAGCCATGGTTCTTGAATGAGTGCCAGGTCAAATCCTTCTTTGAGGAAAAACTGGCCTTGTTATGCTGTAGGTTGATCTGGAGGACCCTGAGCATTGTCCTTAACCGGAGTTGTGACAAGTGAGACCTGCCAGAAACCTAGATTGGCTCTGAAGTTGGTGGACTGCACAGCCTTGAAACAGACCTCATCCAGGAAACAGACGAATCCGTACCCTTTCAGATCTGGTTTGGCCGGCAGTATCTTCCACTCCTTGACATTGAGAGTGGGATTTTGCATAGTAAACATTTCTTTGATTTTTTCTGGAGTTTTCTTCAGCAACTTTGGATCTGCTCTGAAGAATACTCTCGTGGATTTCAGGATGTCCTTTCTCAGTCCTGCTTTGAGGGTGAGTTGCTCCTCTCAAGGCTTGAGAGCCGGGAACAATCCCTCCAGCCATCGCTTGGTGGCGCCGCTGAGGCAGGCAATGATGAGGGCACCTTTTTCCATATAGATTCCAGCAAACGCTGGACTTGAACCATCCTCTAAGGGCTGGTGTATTTCCAGGATTGCTTCCTCAATTTTTTCTCCTTGCTCGTCATTTAACTTAGCTTCAGGATAGTTTTCAGGGACAATGGCAATTTTGGTAGCGGTGATGTCCCTGTAGGATGCTTCATTGGGCGTTGCAGGTTCCCCTGCGTCTTTCACCCCTTCAGACCTCTGGGTAGAACACCTCGCCTTCTTTGCAGGTCCTTCTGCTGAGGGTGGAGTGACCGTTGCACCTCTAGGGCGCTTGGTCACCCTCTTTTTGACATTTGGACCCGCAGTTGGGCCTGGTGTCCTTACCTCCTGTGGTCTTTTGTTTTTCTTTCTTTTTTTTCCTGCGCCATTTTTCAGGGTCGAATTGTTTCCCTCTTTCTAGAAGTTTTGCCTTTACGACCTCCCTTCTTTGTGCCATGGAGAGGTTAGGGTTCTTCATCTAAGTCGTTCAGTGGCGTCATCACGTGTCTCTGTGGAATTTGATGTTTTAGGACTGCTTAAAAGCTCCTCTTCTCTTTCCAGTGTAGCTGGTGTGAGCGGGGATTCGTCCATAGTGGAGGTTCCTGGTTTTGAGAGCGATAGAGCCTCCTGTGCTCTTGGTGCACTCGTTTTAAGAGCGGGGTCTTGCTCTGAGTGAGCTGACCCCTTAGGTTTGGTTCTGGTTGAGTTTATTTATTCGTATCCATGGTGTTCCCACGAGAAGCAAGGGAAATTTGAGGTCGAGCCCAGACAGAGCCCCGCATGTCCAGGTAAGGCTGATTACTCCAGGAGGTCGCCCGGTGTCCTGGAGGCTCTGTACGCACCACTGCTGGGGAGCCCGGTGGCATTCACCTCTTCAGCATGGGTCGCATGACGCCACTGAGGTTGGCTGAAACAAGAAGCAAAAGCGAAAGGAAAAGGAGAAGGGAAGAAGATTTTTCAATAGGAAAGCGAAGAAGAAAGAAGGGCCAGCAAAAAGAGGAAGTTAGCTGGCCATAGAACCCAGAACGAAGAATAGGAGAGATCTGGGGGTTGGCTAGGGTACCTCGGGGTTGCCAGCCTACCAGAGGCCTCCCGTGTAGTTGACAGGCAACTACCCCTGAGGGGTGCTACTACTTCATCGCATGTCTTTTTGATTGGGGTACATTTGGACTTATTCAAAAGTAAAATCGTATTCTGTGCTGCACTCTGTAGAAACACTGTGGCACTATTTCAAATCATGACTAATGCTAATACAGAATGTTGTGATTATTCAAACATACAAAAATAATTTGCCTAACATAACAGCTGTAAACATTCAGCTTATGTGTCACAAATACAGCAATTGGGTAAAAAATGTAAAGACATACACTTAGGGTTGACTTCTTTATATTACTAGCTGTACCCGCGGGCTTTGCCCCGCTTAACTTCAAAAGTATTCGCATGGCTCAATCACTTCCTGGTTGAAGTTCGTTCGCTACGCTCACTCACCTTCAGGTTGGAAATCGTTCGCTGCGCTCACTTGTTTTCAGGTTAGCTCGTTCGCTACGCTTACTCGCCTCCAGGTTGATGTTCGTTCGCTACGTTCACTCACCTTTTGGTTGCAAATTAGCTGTTGTCATAAATTTAAAAAAAGTCATCCCTTTAATTGTTTATAATACTTTGATAAAGGTTTTTATGTTTTAATATTTAACATTGGAGAATTTAAACGTTGTTCAGTGCACAGGTGTGCTGCGATTGGGGTTTAATACATTTGGACTTATTAAAAAGTAAAATAGTTTTCTGTGCTGCACTCTGTAGAAACACTGTGGCACTATTTCAAATCACGACTAATGCTAATACAGAATGTTGTGATTATTCAAACCTACAAAACACAGTTGGTGAAAGTAAACATCTGCTTTTAAATTATATTTATTTGTAAACATTGTAGATCAAAAAGTCTGACATTGGCCCACTTAAACCCCTCTAGGGCAGAGCCCTTTTGACGGATCTGCACAAAACTTCACTCGAACCATCCTTGAAAGATGCTTAACAATGCCTGAAAGTTTCATTACAATCTGTCGAGCGGTTTCGGAGTCCATAACGTATATACACACACACACACACACATACATACATAGTTCCTCTTTTATAGATATAGATGTGTAATGCTAATCATTGATACGTTAAATTCTTCTGTAAGAGGATGACAGATTAATTAAATATTCATAGTAAAATACTAGGATGTTCAAATTTATTTTTTAAATCAATCTTTGTATTCTTCGATTTGTTTTAGAGCAATATAATTTGTTTTAACTAACAGCTGGTTAAATATAAACTATGGAACTATGAGGTTATTTTATTCACTCTTATTTTGTCATTGATTATAGGAAATAAGTAAGATTGGTAGAGATAATTAGGCGACAGTTCAAACCACAGTTTTAACCAAAATTAATTAAACCACAGTACAAATCGATGCTCTGTACACGAGTCTTAATAAAAAAAGGATTAATGCAAATTATTTTACTGCTACTCTTTTCAAGGAAAGATTAGAAAAATAACAATGTTTACATGTTTTAATTCTTCATGGTAATTTTTTGTTTACAATTAATGTTTGTCTGCTTCAACTTTGTTTGGATTAGGCCCGGGTGTAATAAAAAGAAGATCAAGAATAATCAGGAATCACGATTTTAAATTACCACCACAACCTCAGTCGGGTTTTATACAAAGATAAACATATGGATGACATAGCTTGAACACAACGTCAACATTGACCTAGGATACTGCAATTAGACAAAACATCCTTTTATAAAATCGTGTTCAGTTGTGGTTACGTTCAGGGGCGCCTACATCAGCGGGCAGCGCCCCCAAATGTAGAAATATCACTTTTATTTCAACTATGAATATATTGTAGTTTAAATTAACTAATATGGGAAATAACAATGTACATTTATTCAATAAGGGTGGGTAGTTATCAAGGATAGAACTGATAACGGTATGGATAATAAACATTGACAATTACATCATTAGCTTTACTAGGGTGTTTACTTTTTATATTCCTGCTATATGTGACCAGTTCGTTTTATTCAAATGAATGTTATTTGAACCTAACAGCTGTTTCAAAACAAACTGTTATTGTTTTAACTTTTATTTGTTTGTTGTTGATATAAAGGATAGGTGTGACGATTAGTTTTGATGTTAGGACACCAAAGTAAAATTATGTGTACTGTGAATTTTTTTGGATATTATCGTTTTATTTTAGGTAGTTTCTATTCAGACCTACTGGAAATTGTGTATACAGTAGTTGTATTGTGGTGATAATAATTATGGAAGAGGCAGGTGTGCTATGGAAGGTGGTATCGTTGACTAGGTCTATACACTTCTCAATTGACTATTACTCTCTCTACTTTAGGCTACTTATAATCAGTGTGCGTCTGTGCGAATCGGCTGTAAATCTCACTTTAACGCTTTTCACATCGTAAAAATTGCAGAATTGTTGTTTTATTGTAAAATTATCGGATTTAAAATGCATACCGTATAGGCCTTTGATGGGATAAAAACATATTTGGTCACACGACATTTGTTTACATGTTGATTTTTTACATTAAAACTGCAAGAAACTTTGTCTTTATATGTGTAAACTAGCTGATCTGAATTGTACACGGTTTTAACTGACTACTGAATTCCCGTACGTAGGATGGGCTACTACCTTGTTATTATTACATTTAAAATTTGCATTATGTATGCAAATTCAAGTGTCCCTCTTATCTACTTTCTGGCATACGACCCAAAAGGGTTTTAACTTATGATTGGTAGGAAATTTTGCACTTTGTCTGATCGACAAACTTTTTGTGAAGCTCTTTTAGAGAGTATAACAAATACCTTTTATGTTTCTGAATTTTTCCGAGCTATGTAATGTAGTTAAGTCTATGTTGCAAAAGTCGAAGCATGAAAAGTCAGACTTTAGTTTATATCTGCTAAATTATCGGTCATCTCCAGTTGCGAATCTTAGGTATTCTCCTTCGCAACTACTTCAAAGTAG